AATTTTACAGAGGTAATAATTTAAGTACCTAATACTGAATGTCCGAAGGGATCACGATCGGACATACCAAGACTAGCCAAAACCGCACTGTGTCAATCGGTAATCGGAACTGGCAGGGCATCATTGGAACAACTGTAGTTTATAAACGGCTCGTGTGAAGCTTGCCAGGCTTTATGAGAAGGTTGCGGAAGTACGTATCCCGCTACCTCGCTGACTGATAATCTGCAAATTTCCTCTAGAAAATGAGCATCTTGAGCCCGTTTCTCGTGGCCATGATCGTGCGCCATACAACGTCTATAACTTCTCACTTGTTGATTTCATTCTACATTAATGTTAGTGTATCAGTTCGTGAGCAATCAATCTAGACTTCAAGGTACATAAAAACTAATCTCATTATTACATTCGAAGAGAATGTTCTTGTGTGGGACATCAGAAGGGGTGCTGATCTTTGCTATTCTGTTAGGATATTCACACTTAACCTGGGTGATCAGTTCATTGATCATACGTTACAGATTACTACGCTCTATTACTGCTTCGATATGTGCTATACTTAATCCGCAGTGAGGACACTTCTTGTTCACGAAGTTCCGTTTTTTTTTTTGCACACAAAGGCACGTTATGTAGAAAGTAAATATTCACTCTTTGATCGGACGTTCGCTATATATAATATATAAATTATATAAATTTGTTGCCGTCATTTTTATATCATCCGTTCCTTTATATCTCCTTTTATTTCACTACATATTAATTTTATATTCTTCGTTGCTTTCTGGTTCTTAAAAACTATAGAGGTAATTGCGTTCCTACTCCGATAAATCATTTTTCATTTCTATTTAGCGCGCCATATTTTAGGATACAAGTATTAAGATAGCCAAAATAATAACAGATTGCAAGATTCTTAAAGCCATCACAATAATAATATATTTAACGTAGTGCTAAAGCTCTCACACACCAACTAAAACATCGGCGATCGTAAAAAGGACATTCCAGAGATACTTGCGACTTCATAAGCTGTAACTTTGTTCTCAGGACGACATCTTAAGCAAAGCGCACTATCTCCTTCTTAAAGTTCAACAACGCGAACTTCTTTATCCTCAATTATCAACCCTTTGAAGAGCTCGAGTGGGCTCGCTGAGTTCATCTACAATGGATGATATGAACTATTATTTGCTTCCACAGAGGTAAGTTATCAGCTTACTGAACACACGGAGCACACGGAGTCTGCCATTTTATGATCCTCGTGAAAAGAACAAGTGTCTGGCCAGACCAAGGCGTCTGAGAAGAAACGAGACACTAGCTCAGCTATGTTATTACATGTACGGCTATGTCATAGATACCACAAGCCCTATGAGAATCGCTTTGAATATGATCATTCTTATTTTCTTTTTTTATGGTGAGAAAGACTTGATAATATTTGACAGTAAGAAATCCTCTTTAAAAGATAAACCGACAACATGGTTGACAGGTTGAAGTAAATGATAAACAGGAACGGTAAATACGTAATTAATTATACCTGTTATACTAGTATCTCTGGTAACATTTAAAATAAGCTAGATATCATGCAAATCTCCAATTGTATGATCCGTTCGATCGAAGGGGGGATTGTTCAACAAATGAGATCTGCCAACTTTTTTGCTACACTTTAGCTTAGGTGGGACGCCTGGTACCTGATGACCCAAGTATTATTGTGAAGATTGCACTCTTATTCACAGTCACAGCCTCTTTATGCACGGCCTATGAAGAACAGCTACCTCACCGATGCCCCGTATGTGCCAATGCTGTAGCAAAGTGGATATCATAACTCACATTTGGATGAATTTCGTGTAATCCGCACAGAACAAAATTTCGAAAAAAAAAACATATCTCTATGGCTAGAAGCTAATAGCAAGGAGAGTCTACCAACAAGGCCGAAGAAACAGACATTTGGGGTTACGTATCTGCGAGGCTGAGAGTGCAAACTTCACGGCTTCTGGTGTGTCACGCTTCAACTCCTGAATTCACAGTCGATTATCGTTTAATATCTTATTATTAATTTAAGTCAGCGACCCATGCCAGCCATTACCATTACCATTTTAATTGTGCATATTTGCAAATTAAACGAAGAATTGCCCTTTTTTTTATTATCTCTTTTCTTTTAAATTGTAACATGAAATTATGCTAAATAAAAGCACCTATGTTTTATTGAGTTCGATAGTTGTGATGTCTAATCAGGCCGACATCTATTTCTGAATAACGACGTTATTCGGCAGTTTTTTCGACCTCTACGGTAATTCGGCCTAAGTTCAGGGCTTGGAACGCTTGTGTTAACTAGAGCTTTGACCATGTCATAGGGCTAAGGTGACAGCTGCATTTCCTAGATACCGCTTAAGCATTTGACAGACTCGTTTCTACTGGCTTCAGTATATGAGTCCAAGACAACGAGATAGTGATACGACGAGCAGATGAAACTGTCGAGACACCAAGACGTACTAGTTGTCAAGTTATGTAGTGCCTCAGCCTGCTTCTTTCTCGTCCCCCATATTCCCTGGTCCCCATGGGTCCTGCAAAGCATCCAGGATACACTCGAACGAATGCCGGAGCGCGAGGACGCTCGCTTCCTTAAGCTCCGCCCCGTGTAAGGGCGGGCCGTTAGCAGAAGAGATCGGGATAGTCCCAAACATCAGCAGTTAGTATGTAAAGCTGCGCTGAAACAGTTGTCGAGCGCCCTATATGCAGCGTGCAAAGCCCTCGATTTGCCCTAGACAAACAAAATAAAAATTCAGAATGTAAGATTAAAAAAAATGATTGTAACAAATCGACCAAGACCTTCTTTATATGTGAAATCAAACGCGATCTTGTGCTAGTTCACCTAAAAATTAATATGAAATTTATTATAAGGAATGCTTTTTGCACAACATGAGCCAGTTTCGAAAATTATCAATGAAATCTACCAATTTTTAGCGCGTTTCGCCACAATAAATGACGTTCGATATTTCCCCGTATTTTTTTTTTATTTTGCAGTAATTTTTGCAAATATGGACATACGATTCGTTCGCTATTGAAAGAATATATGAAGAAAGCTCCGAATATAGAGTAACGTCAATTCTATAATTTTGTATATCTTTGACGATTTCTGCAATCGCTCATTGAACGTTGAACAGTTATTCAGAGCAAGCATAGCAGAACCTTTTAAACAGAAGTTATTGATTGGTCAAACTAAAATTATATTGGCCCAATGTTTATGCCAACGGTTACGCAGGCGCTAGGGTAGAAACTTCCCGCCTTTTTACCCGCAATATTGAACGCAACACAATTTCGAAAAACATTCTCATTGTCCGCTACAAATTTACATGCTTGGAAGATAAGAATTTCATGCAGCTCTATCCAAAGGACAGGATGTGACTTGCACCATAGTTCGATACAGTCCGACTAAAAGCCCATTTCTGTATTTCTGGCTTCATATGAAGCTGGTCGAAAGTGTCCGGCGCGCACCTATTTACCCCATGCGTAAGTAAATACATTGCTTAGCTTTGTATTCCGTCGTTTAGCTTAATGGCGGATAATGTTTCTCACATGCGTCATACATGCCTGATTGTCGTACGGATTAAATCATTGCCAGCGGGCTGGCAATGGCGCGGTTCAGCTGTCAGCCTGACGGCTAATTTTTTGTATGTATCAAATCAAATGTATTACGCTAAGTAAATGTCATTAACGTTTAACTCGTTGGCTATATTTTAGAATACTCTGGGTTGTCTAAGGCATGCAGTGAAGAGTCGTTGTCTTGTACCCCACAGGTTTTTGTTCTTTCTATAGAGCCTGTTGAACAGCTCGTACAAAAATGGTTCTTTGGGTAGCAACATCTGGCCACTTCTTTATTGGCCTTCAATACTCGAATCCCCGTTCTTGAAACACTTGTACTATTCATTTACTGTACTCTGGCTTAAGGCCTCTCGGCCTAATGTCTCTACCATTCTTCAATGAATTTCCGCAATGCTACGGCCTTCGAGGAATAAAATGCTAATTACTGAACGCTGATTTTTGACGCTAAAATATATAAAATTCATTTCTCCTGAAGCAAACTAAATCTGTTGCCATTCAAATGTTTGAAATTTCTCTAGTAATTTCTAGCCAAATTTCGTCTGCTAGCGATATATTGTTATTCAGTGTCAAAGGGCGCCGGATTCGTTTGTAGCAACTTAATATTAAATACAACTTTGTGTTCAACATGTCAACGATCATGAAAAGTATTTGGTTGCAGAATTATCTACATTTTACGTTCTAGTAAAAATGGTTGTTTCAAAATATGGAATTTCGGAAGGCTTTCAAGGGCCCGAAAACACTCTTAATTACACCAACTCTTAGCCAAAATTATCTAAAATATTGGGTAACTATAATAAATCCAATATTCAACTGTAGCACGATATTTTTACATTAGGAGGAGGACGAACAGAGAATTCTTACTGGATTATAATAGAGCCGACTCTACCTAAAAGTGACAGAATGATATGCCCAAGCCGAAATCAGCTGGACGCTACTGACATCCACCTACTTCGCAAAAAGAGTCGATACCAAGTCATAAAGCAGAAATACTATCAATTAAATATGACGACTTGGATGAAAACAGATTGTCTAGTTGGTCTCGTTAGCGACACTACCATTCAAGAAAGCATTTCTAACGCAGACTGGCTTTACGGAGCATTGATACTAAGAATCTTTGATACTTGTTTAAATTTAGTAAGCATCAATTACTATACAGGACGATGCATCTGAGACGATTCACTGGTCAAGCGCACTGCGTATTGCGACTTTTTGTACAAAAACAGCACGCGCTAAATTCGTTCCTAATTCACCTTCCCGTCACAGGTTGTCCAGCTGCCGCTAGTTTCGAAGGCGGAGCCTGCGAGGCTCTGAATCCCGGTGAAAGAGGAGGAGCATCACGGCAACCAGCGCTTAGCAGCTCCGCAGTATGTCCGCAGACTACGGCTGCTATGAGGACTGGGTATAAGGCAATAATATGGGCTTTATATCAAAGGGTACGGCCAGGGGCCCCGCAACAGGGGCGTGTCCTACGAAGCGACTACGGGTCTCCGGGTGGTTGCCAGGCCTCGTCACGGCGATCAGTTCGTTCGTGGCAACAGGCCGAGCTAGCCGCCGTGTCACTGGCTTGTAGAGCATGTCAGGCCTGCAAGAACCTATGCGAAACTACGACTCTAGCAAACTGTGAGATCAGGACCCGAGCGGTGCTCTGGCAGCTGCCAGTACAGCTGCCACCGATCGAAGCCATCCCAAGAGTCAACGATGTCTTCGTGGCTTGTTTGGCCGCAGCGAGCCGCATCAGGTCGATGCCTAGTGACGGTCTAGTACACGTCTCCTCGCAACCACCAAGCCTAGCTGTGGTTGGCCCAGAGGCGTAACTCGACGACTCGCATTCGGCCTTTCAGTAGAGTCCTTTTGCTGACCGATCTGCGCGTCATAGAGAGAGCAGGAGACCCCACCGGATCCAACGATTGACAATGGACGTCGGACGCGGAATTAACGGAAACGCCCCAGATGGGGTCTCAGACCAAAACGGCAACCAGTATTGCCCGGTGCCGCCCGTTGGACATGACGAAAGCTCTCCTACAAATCAGAAACATCAACCAAACATCTATGGTATGCTATACTAGCTGTACTTGTCATCCTATTATATCAGAACGTTAGTTACTTGTAACCATAGCAGATATCTCTCCAAAAAGCGGCCAACAGGATGTAGGTTCTCTAAAATCGAGTACTTGCTCACCTCCAGTTTATGATTGTGGCATCTATATAAGCTCTTTCTCTCAGCTTCGGACTATCCCAGTTTAATGTTCAACACTAAGTGTTATGTGGTGTGCTGCTCTTTCAGGAGGGCAGTTGATGGTGGCACCCGTGTGCAGTGACTACCCCTGTGGAGGTCCCTTGGGCGACTGTCAAACGATCGCATCTTTGGACCCTAACTCATGGATGAGTGCAGAGTGTTATCCTTCGAGAGCTTACGACCTTCCACTAACCCAAGCACCTATGACCAATCTATCCCTGAATCAGATCAACCCGACTGGGCCCCTTCCCAGTCATTCCCATCACCAAGAGCTAGAGGAGCCCGCGGCCGTATGCGTTAAGGCCGAGAGGACCTACACTCCTGATAGCAGTCGGACTCACCAGCACCCACCTCCCACATCTGCGTACGAAGGTTAGTTGTATCTTAGTAGTCCGGAAAACAATCAGGCCTAGCTTCTGAACTGCAATGATGCAACATTATTGAAAATTCGTCCGAGAAAATGTATCCTTTATCCTGTAGCACAGCTCCTAGTTAATGGCTTTTTTTATATCTTTGCTAATGCTATCGCTAGACAGCACGACTTACTCTTCTGGATTACTGATAACGCGCTATTTTTTTTTATTTATGATATATTCGCTGCACAAGGAGATCGCCTTTGACATCTGCGCCGGCCTGAAATCTAATGATTTCATTTTCTGACTATGAGGGTGGATCTTCAAACTGATAGCCGTAGTGGTGCACTGGGCCATTGCCGATAGCAAAAAATTTTGACAAATTTGTAATTTTACTGTTGGGTCGTGTGTTACGCAAGTCCTTACTTTGACAAGTTCAACTTGATTTGAAGTTATCCCAGCAAGGGAGATTCACATTAATTATTCGGATGCTTAAAATTTTTTGTTGGACTCTTCGAATAGCAAAGAGTTAATCTAAAAATTTGATGCGTATCTTTTACAGATCTCTCAGTTTCCTAGACGTATACGTCTGCGTTTGCTATCTTTGCTAATCAGGTCGAAACTAGGGAGCTCGGCTAACGTTTACAGAAATATGGTTATCACGTTGCCCTTGCATGTGCGGTGATTTATTTGTTTATTGATGCTTTGCTACGTTCTATTTCGGATTTTGTATGAGCAGGCCAAAGGTAGCCAGACCTCTTTTCGGACCAGCTTAATAAGATCTCTATGTTTATTTAAACGGAACAAAAAGTGTTGTTATGTGATATGGAGTATATTTTCTATCGTCCAATAGCGGTATCCACTTTGCATTGAAGAATTGTCGTGTCATAGAGTTTATTCGTAGATCAGTTATTGGTATCGGATATTGCACTGTTCCTTAAGCTACTGCCGCGAAAAACTCCTTGACGATGGTACTATCGTCTGTTGCAAACGGAGCAGCTAGGAGACAGCGACAGATATTTTTTCTGGTCACTCGAATTTTACCAAGATGCCCTTTAAATATCTTATAATGCCTATCTTTCATAGAGGCAATTACTGAAAAAAAAACCTGCTGCATAATTTGTAGCTACATGATTACGACTGTACTTCACAAAAATAGTAAGGATTGACTGCTTTTTGAAACTATTATCTAATTTATGTTAAATCAAGGTCGGCTAGGCCTACAAAGTAGGTTAAAGCAACTATTGATCAATACAAATATAGGTTCTTGTTGACAGCTCTAAATGTATTAAGAACACATTGCACGACCGTGTGGCCCTTTTGTCACGTCAGATCCCACTAGTTACATCAGTTAATATTGGCAATAACCAAATGAATGTTTTAGCTATGGCACATAGACCGTTCCTTCCCAACGCGGGACAATGTGTGTCGCTGATTTTGTTTGAGCCGTTTCAAGCTGAAATAGCGGCACATTCGCGCGAGCACTGCCAGTTAGGTCGAGTAGTAGAACATAGAAGGGAAAGCGTATTCTTCATGGAATGAAGTTCAATTGCTAGACATGAACTAAAGGTGCGCGTGCATATAGGATGGACATTTACCGTGCCTACTGCATATGCGGGAACTCGATAAGGCCGTTGGTATACCCATGTGGCTGTCAACCTTTACCTTAGAAGTAAGCTCAATACCTTTCATTCCTGTTTTAAAGCCAAAACCCTTGATGACTACATGTTGTCATGCGCAACTCCGGGCACTGTCTTATTTGCTGAGCATCTCCTTCAGCTTCGCTGCCTATGTGTTCTTAGGCCACTAGATACCTATTTGAGGGCCACTGATTACCGGCTTATTTTAATGAGAAGAGATTTCAGGCTAGAAACAAGCTTGACACGGTTAGTAATTACTTGTCTACATTTCAGCTCTACGGTCAAATTCGGGAAACATTGCAAAAAACCGAAAATACACGACACTTCTGATGATTTTTCCTTCGCTAGCGCTTTAGGTACTATGAGGGCCATGATACAAAATACGATCATCATATAACCAATACAATTATTATCTAATGATCCTGATCCAGAATGATATAAGTAAACCATGCGTCTGAATGACAATAGAGATCGATTCTATCGGCATTCTAAATGAATCTAATAGGGCAGCTTTGGTACTAGAAATAAGCTGGAAGACCCGTTACGTAGAGGTTCAGGCGGCTGCATCTACATATGAAACGAAATGTGTCCAGGTTCAAACTCGAAGCTGGGTCACCACGTGTCCGTAGGATTAGCACTCAGGCACATTACCCATTGCGCTAGCACGGAGGCCTTGATACTTCAATGTATGAACTAAACCAAAAACTCTTTACCGATTGCTTTTTGTTTCGGCTTTATCGCGGTACTATCTACCAGCAACCTAAATGATGAAATCAACTGCTACGAAGCAACATTTGATCAAAGAAACCTAAGAAAATTATCACGTAATTCCTTGAAAATAGGAAAAAAATAGGACAGAACAGTGCTGCAAGCAAATTCATTACAACAATAACTCGAACAAAAACAGCTATCGGAAGACCTAATCTTCTGCGCACAGATCCTCATATGCGTAGAAGCCGAAGTATTTCTAGAAGTAGATAGATATGCAAGTGATTTTGCTCCTTTAGAACAGAAGAAGAGTTATGAAAGCGGCTGGCTTTGCAACGCTCAAATTGGAGGGGGGTTTGCTTTAATAAATTCGGTCTTCAATACATCCACTACCTAAAATACCCCCTCAACTGGATCCAACCTGTATAACATCTTACAGAGTAACTTACATAAAACTTTTTATTAGTTAAAGTCAACTTTACTTATTTAAAACATGTTGTGGCAACGATTGTACTATGGCCTTTAACAGATATATTCGTAAGATGGATTGTATCAATTTTCCGGGTAAATAGATACTTTTAACGGGACTGGCTAAGAGGTCGTGTGCTCTAATTAGAACTGAACATGACAATATATGATATGCTTCATCGAGACAACTTGCTATGGTATTAATTACATGAGTATTTAAGATTAAACACTTGATCTGCTTGAAAAGCCCACTGTCCGAAACAAATACCATCTATGTAAGCCATGCAACCCCAGTCGTATGTTAAACTTTGTGCAAAGTTTATAAACAGTCTTAGCAGCTCTATGAAGAATCTCCGCTGCATGTTACTAGAACAAAATAAAACGTTTTCAGTCGCAAATAGCAATATTTTTTCCGACTTTTTCGAATAGAGCTACCCCCCCCCCCTCCCCTCTCTCTCATTGGTCCCCCCCATTACCGATCTAGGCAGCGCCAAAGGCCATCGGCAACGTGAACTTCCCGATTGATATCGAAATCGTCCTCACCATTACGCAAAAAATCACAGCAAACCTGATGGTTGACCTGGCAGGAATAACAATAAAGGTTGAAACCATAAAACAAAGCACCGTAATCTATTGGGCCTCAACTTTTCAATACAAGTTAAGTTTACATTTAGACATACAAAAAAATTTTAGTTTTCACAGACCTGAATCTACTTTCTCAGGGTTTGTTATAAATGTATTCTTACGTAAAACCGATGCAATAAACATCCAGGCCCTAAAACGCTCCCCAATACCCAGCCAATATGGCTGAACGAAGATCTCTCTTGAGTACCATAATGTAGCACACAGCATTTGTGGATTACGCCATTAGGGGGCATAATGTGTGTAGCTGAAAAACGTCAGAGCTTACTTGATGAACTTAAAACCCTACAGCATGGCCTGCTTTAGCGATCTTCTTCCTGTTCTCGCGAACAATCTTGTTGACGGGTTAACATACATCGTTGGTCTCTGACAAAGGCAGAGAAATGCATTTTGTATTTCGAGCGACTAAGCAAGCACATGCGTACATATAGGAAAATTTAGGCTTCCTACAAAAATAGACGGCAGAAGTAAACAATTTATAGAAAACATTTCGTTTCGCAGCGTCCTTCGAGTGCAATGATTCACAGTACCTCTTTTGAGTTTCTGGAATCTCTGGAGTACAACGAAAGTCTATCAGACCGATATACTATCGACACCAAGTATCTACGTCCAACAATTTGTTTTAGTCGGACATGTTCGGAGATTGCCTCAGTGTAACGTTAGAAGATATCGTTGTGTTCCTAATAAAATGTAATAGGGTATTCTAACAAGGTTCTGTTCGCTCAACAATAAACATGAAGTATATTCTATTTCTGCATTAATAAATTTCTGCATCGTAATGTTGAACCACTTCACGGATGTACATGTATTTCAATTGTATACATGTACAATTAATTCTAGCACTTTAACTATGACAGGCGAGTGGTTTGGCTGTTCCAGCTGATCTAGAAAATCATGACTATAACATAACAATAATGCTGGTACGTTGATTATTAGAGTGCCTGTATATGACCCTTTGGGTTTCCTATGAGAAGAAACGTTTTTTAAATGTTTATTCGAAGGTCGTCGGAGATTAGCTACTACTGACACAACAAGACACACAGCAGTATCTATGTGCTAACCTATTAAACATGGTTTACCCCAGCAACTCCTCGATGAACTTCATTGAATCACTTACTACCTCACATGTTGAAACGTCATTCTTTTATGTTCAATCAAACGAACTAGCTACATATTCTTCTAATATATTCGATAGAAATTTTCGAATTCGGAAGGATATACGAAAAACCCTGACGAAGCTCGTTATCGATTCTATTTACCATGTACAAATCTTAACTGCACAGAAAAGGACTACAGCGAGCTTTTCCTGGCGGGAAAATTAGGGGAGGTGTCGGAGGAAGGGATAAAGGTGTACGAAATTAATTAAAACAGACGTTTAGATGGATTGCGTAATATGCGCAAGACCTTCCATATTGGTCAGTCTGTATAGATACACGATTTTAGAGGTATGGAACATTTAAACTGGGTCGCTTATACCTATATTAGAATGGAGCCGCTCTGCAAATCAACTAGAAATTTCGACGCCACTTCCTAACTATACCCTCGGATTATAGCCCGTAGTACCGCCTGGATTATTAAAAGGCAGACGTATGTTGTGTTTAATTCTCACGTACTAGCGAGTCCTAATTACTATAATACGATAGTTAGGCCTCAAAAGCCAAAGAAACACTGGAACCCTCAAAACGTTTGGAAGTGTTCATTTAAGTAACTCAGTGTCGATCTGGCCAACGGTCACAATGGGTATAACTCAGTATCCGCGGAAGACCGCAATATTTTCCTTCGCGTTGATTATTTAATGTAAGTCAAGCTATGGAGATGATACTAGCAAGTATATTTTGAGTACCGCTTAATTAATATGCCATACCAAAGAGAAGCCACAACAGCCTAACAGCCAAATTCCACCTACAGCGACCTATCGATCAGTTAAAGCTAAAAGATTAAAAATTCCGATACCACGGAGAACCACATTGTATTATGTAAAGATCGTACTGGATAGATTATTGAATCTTGAGTACGTTCTAGGTTACTTATTAGACTAGATTTAGATGATAATCGATCTTCTCTTTGAAATATTTCGTGCATGAAATGCGTTGCACCCTCGCTAAATAGGACATACACAAAACAGTACATATGCACGCGCACACATACACACACTCTTGCATAAACGATTGTTGTGTTTCTTTGGGAACATGTACGGTGCTATCTTGCAGTGATCCTAAAAGCAATAGAATATCACCTCCACCGTGCGACACGTGCCGTTATAATGCACTAATTGGATGGCGTCCTCTCAGGCGCCAAGCTGCAGGACCTGGCAAGGCTTCTCTAATTTGAAGAACGTCTAACTTCCCTGGCATTCCTCTGTATAGGACGTCTCTGCTGCACTAAATTGTAATATGACCAAGATTCGGACGCGACACGACTGTTCGAATGGCATTAAGCGGTCCTGCATCCTATTTGTTACGTCAGCGACCTGGCATACATTCCTGCAGTTCTACTATCCATATGATGCTTTTATGCGAAGATAGTCTTCAACCAAACTGAAAGCGTTCACTACACAGCACCACAAGCACTTGGATGTTCCACAGGAAAATGTCCTTTTAATATCCTCTTTTTACCCGCTGAGCGCCCCAGGGGACAAATCTGCAAATGATCGCGCAAGGTCAATGGACGAACTTGCGCGTACGAGGTGAAGCGTCAAAACGATCGAAAAAATGCGAACGTGATAGTATCTGTTTAGGTCCATTGCGGCACTCTTGCCACGTTTACTAGCCAAGGAAGATCGCCAGTCATTATCACAGAATTGAAAAGGACAGAAGAGTGTCGCGCGTGATTCGAGAGCGTCAGCATTTGCATCGAGTGCAGCACGTATCGCAACTCAATGGCCAGTAGATAGTTGCAAAGAAAGGGGGGTTCCCGCGAGGTCAAGCAAGAGGGTAGGTGTAGTATAAGACAGAGAAGGAACCAGCGTAGGTGGCGGAAGCGATGGTATGTGCCACTTGAGCGAAATTAATTCGATTTTCAGATGAGTGATGATGATTACGAAACGGGCGACAGGGCGAAAAACAGGAAGCGCCTATGGGCTGGCTGAGCGACAGAGGTGGAAAAGATTGCAGACAAATGTGAGGCCCGGGGTAGCTGTTCGCTCACTGGGGAATGGGTGGCATCATTAAAACATTTGCGCCAGCTTACCACGACTTATCGACTGTGATCGTGTGGCTCTAGGTGCTGCTAAACGAGTAAGCTGCTTGTTAGTGGCGGTGCCTTCAAAGTTTTCGTTGTCGACGATAGCAAAGGACGAAAGGCGGATTTATGATAAAGATCTCTCGTTGAAGAACAGATAATAGTGATAATCCTTGTCATGCGTATCTACGAGAGTCCGTGTATATACGGCAAAGGCGACACGGTAATCGGTAGAAATCAGAACAAAAATCCGCCTAAACTACTGGCTTCGTCTAGCTCAAACAACAAAGATAAAAGAGTATCTTCTATTGATTTGCTCTGTATGTACAAGTATTTTATATATTCTTTTTCATTGTTTCTAACTAGGCGCTTGGCCGAATCGGAGTTTGGCGATTCTAAGTGATTGAAACACTCGCTAAGCTCGTCCAGCTTTGCAATATTCGCATCAGCCTTTGAACTAAAGGAAACGCTGCGTCCACTTTTGAAACTTATAGCTTGGGTAATTGAAATAGCAGAATATGAAACTAAACAGACGTCAAGAGGGTCCTCCTGCGCAAACAGGGAACAAATGTATAAATTAAAATAAATAAGATCTTTAATGAAAACTAGTGTTAACAACCACATTTGTACGGATAAAATCTTTAATTGTGGGCCAGTTGATATCAACTTAGACAAATGTTTGTCTTTATTCCTGTTTTTTTTTTTACATTTAGTTTAAGTTCATTTAGAAAACGTCTCGTAGACTTAAATTCAGCTAGAAAACGTACGTTATCTAGGCATCGATGTAATCAAACGAACCTATCCAATTTCTCCACCAAGATACATTTCTATTGGGTTTAACCTATTATACTCAGACAACAAACACCAGCTCCATTTTCCTCTATGGCAATTTTGAAGATAAAATTACAAATTAATTACAAACAAAAAAAAGTAAATTCGAATAAGTATATTGTGCTTTGTACAATTATAGATCGAACTATACTCTAGGTGGAGCCACAAGTTGAATTAGATATTCAAAAAGCTTACCTGAGGTCTACTGACATGGTGGCATTATTAACTTTAAGATATTTACGCTTCATTACAGACTTGTTTCCCGAAGATCCAACGAAATATCGCAGTCTTCGCCCGCATTCGACTCCTGCTACACTTCTTTGGTATAAGTTTAAAATAAAAATTATATTACATATATATATATATATACGAAGTCAAACAGCCGGCCTTTACGCTCGGCTTTATTGATTAGTATTAATTAATGTAGACGTTCTTTTTTTTTTGACACCCAAAATGTATGGCACGGCTCAAGAGTACTATTTTTACAAAATTAAGCAATAGATATATCTCTATTTGAAAGTAAATAAAAATTGCTCTTCATTTTGACCGAGTTCGCGCCAATCTGTTGTTAACAATAATACTTATTACTGGAAGTGATTCGTTTTAATAACTGAGTTAACGTTTATATATAATTTTTGATATTTGATCATTTTATATAAAAATTTATTTTAATATACAAGAACAATCAGTGAACAAAATGTACAATTAATAAAGTCAAAGTTGCATCATACCTCAAAATGTTTTCAGGTACTAATCGAAATTAGAGTACAGAAGAAAATGGCTGCAAAATGGATCTCGTTACCTATTAATATTAGCGTAAAAACACAAATATGACCTACATATACATACAGGATAGGGCGAAAATCCCTTTACAATCTGAGAGTATTTTCTTTACTTTTTCGCTCTTCTGCTGTTTCAAAGCGTCGCCTGACTTTACCGCACCCTATATATACGTAAATAATACTAATGCCGTTCAGATCTCGACATTTGGTTATCATTTGGTTACCTCTCAATTCGGTGGTTCAAAAGTTATTCAGTTTCAAAGTTCCTTTGTCACAGCCTAGTACGTAAAATGCATAACTTTTTCCGCCACAGATGCTCAAAATTATTACAGTTCTGTCAATACTGATCACGGTGGGGTGTTGATTCACACACTTTAACGAACCCCAGATTCCTCTAGTGTCGTCGAGCTTGTGGTGTAGAACTTATTCCTACCAAAAAGTCTATTAACGTCAGCTCTGGGGAACCCTCAGGTAACCTATGAGACCTCTTCGACCAACCTACCTGTTTGGAATTCTCATCAGACATACTCTCACGTAATGAAGATGGATTTATACATACGGCACCTAAATTAGACCTGTTTCTAAGACTGTACCTAAATGGCAGACAGCTGAACAGATCTTTACGTGCGTCATTTCTGGCTGGTACATTTGTTCAATTTATTAGCACTAATGGCGAATACAGTTCCGATTCGGAACTTAAATTTCCCGCTAATCGTTATAGAAGTATCTAATCTTTAATACACAAATAGCTTTTTAAGGGGCATCGTGCATGAAGCGATGCCACTAGACATGAACTCGTTAAAACTACGCTGCATACAGGAAATTCTAACGGAACTAAATTTTGAATTTATAGCAGGCCAAGGCAATAACGAATATGCAAAGGTCCAAAATGGCAGAAGATCTCATAAAGTATAACCGTTCGAATGTATTTACACAATCCAGCTGATAGTTGATATTGTCCTCTCTAAAGCAGCCGTTGATTTCTGTACCAAAAACAGCCTTTTAAGTCGTTTCGATAAACTTTCGAGTTCTGCCACGATTGACGTTAACCAGGTGTCCTAGGCAAACCTAAACAGTCGATTATAGAACTAGTTATCGAAGCACACTGCTGTCTATAAGATTCTAATAAACTGTTTTTATTTCGGCTCTGCAGGTTTTTTGTCAAGCGATTTACTACAGAATTTAATCTCACCCCTTTGTCACCTATTTCCCCCATCCTGATTTTGACTAGTCCCAGGCGGCTCGGCCCTAACATGCTCGCCATCATCAATCACAGATGCTTTATAACTGCTGCCCCATAAAGAGCAATTTAAAGAGGGCGGACAGTGTGCCCTTTTATTGTAGCAGCTTTAAATACACCTATGAACATAATCTATAGCTTACCGAATATTTGTTCGTTTCTGGCTGGCATATTCTGTCATGCATACAGGGACATCTGTTCCGGCCCGTGGAATCAAGACAGTAGACGTAATGTATACTACGGAAACCTTTAATTCTTGCACGGTATTAAATCATTGACTAAGAAATCTCTACCGAGGCATTTTAGCCTCGCTAAAACAACAACAACAACAATGGCTAGGACAACGCTAACGTCGAAACAAACCTTAGAAGGATTTCGAAAGAAAACAAAAAGAGGCCCGTAATGCTCGGTAGTACTTCTGCACGACCCTTGCGTAGGTCACCGGAGTAGGACACGAGCGAAGACAATATCGATCTGTGCCAATATATGATACTAATACGATTACATGCGCGTTTGCGTCTTCGCAGGCTTGACGAGAACTACGAGATGGCTGAAGGTGTTTGCATACCACGCAATGCTCTTTATCTCCATTATGTCGATTTTTGTGCCAAGAACGCCATGCAACCCGTTAACGCCGCGAGCTTTGGAAAGGTGCTCTTCTAAATAAAATAACAATAGTAATAAGAAGAAGTACTATTATTTTTAATTAATTACTTAGTTCGGATACATCGTTCAATAGGGTTTTACCGTATTCGGAAGTGATTCGTCAGAGCGACAGGGGGTAACGGTGGCGTGAGGTAGCATTTATGAAATTTTGCCATAGAAAAGGTGAAACAATGGTTTATGTAGAGACAGCCGCCGTAGTCGGCTTTGCACACTAATCTCTCGTTCAATATTCATCAGTTACCCATCGAACCGCTTTTATATTTTAGATAATTCGTCAACAGTTTCCTGCACTCACCACACGCCGCCTTGGCACTCGGGGTCAATCAAGGTACGTGTACTGTATCAGACCAACAAGTGGGGTCAAAAGCCTCTCTGCACCACCTTAAATGTCGCTGATGTATCTGTAGCTACTTCGCTATCTTGCTGCACAAAGTTTGGCTCGATACAAGTTCCTATATACATTATATACACGTTTCATATTCGCTTGCAGATATCACTACTACGGAATTGCGATACGTGAACACTCTCCATACTTTGAGCCTACGTATTCGAAGAAATCAGGCGAAACGCCTGATATGGGCAGTAAACGACAGTCTCATTCCAATGCAGTTGTTACATCAACATTAATTGACAATGGCAACTTAAAAACTGAGCATCCGTTGGTAAATAACGTTCATCGTACTGTACATAAATCTAAGAACAGGTTACTGGGGGTAGCTGCTCTATACGTGTATATATTATATGAGACGTTAGTGATACTACGCAAACAGATTGTAAATAATGGCTAGCTAACATCTACTTTATTATCCTTATCTCATCCAGAATTATCCGCCGCCAGGTGGCAGAGGGATTTCAGCCAGTTCGCTAGGACTAGGTAATCCTTCCCAACGAGTAAAGCTTACCGCGGTGCTTCCCGAATTCCCGACGCTCCGGGCGCTTAATGTTACATCTGCGGTCGATCGAGAACAGGTGATAAAAAGTAGTTGGATGTATTGCATTTGGATCGCATTCACGAATGCTGTACCTTTACATGGGCATAGACTATGCTTAAGTGCGACAAATGCCTTCTGAATGAATGTTTTAATATTATAATTATAGATCTCCATTAAGGCCTCTGCTCAGGAGAACGTTCGCATAAAATCGTTCAATGTATACACAGGATTAAGCACTGATAATAGAGCTAAGGCACAGAAACGTTTTCGGCAACTAACGTAGTGTTACCTTCTAAAAAGTGCAAGTGTCCTGTACCAACGTTTCGATGCTACTCGGTTCCCTAATGCTGTTTCCAATATCAGGCCGGCGGCCTTTTAGAAGGCTATTTGTAAGCGCCTCTTCGCGAAACTACGGCAATCTAATTGACACAAATATAGTTGCAAAGCTCAGAGGCGAATACGATCGTACCCAAATATTGGGATGGGTTGATGCGCCTAAGATCCAAACGCCAAAAACTATTTTCATTCTTTGAAAACAAGAAAATGTATTATACATATGATGGGTATAGACGAGTCTCATTAGGACAGGCAGATCTTCTCATTGACTAAAGGGATTATAATGTTCTAGTGCCTCCATTATAGAGGTCTCTCTTAAACCTGCTGACATTCAAAGCTATTTTTTAAGATCGTGTTCTGGGAGAGTTTTTAATGAGTCGGTTTTCTTTCATCAGGTATCAAGCTTTTTAACAATGTATCGAACGCACAGTCAGCGTATCCTGGATACTATACTTGCCATGAATCTGGATCAGGTAATGACATGAGTGATGCTTAAGAAAGCTTGCATCTTCAAAACATATCGTCTGCTTAAACACACAGATATGTCTCAGACAAGTTGATACTTCGAATTCCGAAATGCCGATCACCTTTAACGTGCAAGAAGATTTCTGTTTCCAAAATGGTCGCGTGATCCTTGATCTAGATATGTCTCGTGTTTTCATTGCCCTGTCGTTCTTTGTTTCGTAAGGTCCGCGTTCATTTGCAGCATTTTTGGTTCGGGATACCTCAGCATGTAGCATCGGGCCTGGGCTGCCCAGTTCTCGTGAACCTCGTGGCACTTTGCGACTTCGCGCTCTATAAAACAGTGCAAGGACTTCTTCTGCCTAGTCTCATACAACCATTACCCGAAAGGTTTGTTGACATTTAGCCGGAGCCTCTGATAGATTCACGGATCTTGGACAATGAATGTGCTCGATGCTTTTTTGTTGTTGTGTCATCATGTTTTCGCACTTGGCGACAGCAGCGGCATCAGCGATGATCGACGGCTTTTGCAAGTCTTATTGCAGTTTGCAGCGTTCTATACTCAGCACTTTGCGTAAATAGTCGGTATCTAAGCTAGAAAGAATTTTGCGCAGAGTGATACTGCGGTTGTAGTGCGCTACAGCCTGCCACAGCGGCCGCTGCCGTTGCTCCGCGCGTCGCCACGAGATAATCGCTGTACGTACGACGGATGACGGCGCAGTCGTCAATGCCAGGACGAAGTTTAACCGTTTTTCATCTCTAGATTTCGTCACTGTTATGATGCCCAATACTATCCATTGAAGGACCGGTACTTTCTTTAACTCAGTATTAATTCTTATTTCAGCTTTATCAGAATGGTTGACATCTTCACTCACGATTACGAAAGCTGGTTGGAACGAGCTCTAATAGGGTTTCCTAAGGCATTACAGCACGTTAAGATTGAAGGTATGAATATCGAATGATCACCCCAGAAGTATCTGGTTTTCCTTTTCGCTGAAACTGCACCCTAAAGCCGCACAATGACCCAACGACCCCAACGCCTCCGTAGTACCGCAATCAAGTCTAGATACCAAGTACCTTTTGCTGAGTCAGCCTGAATGCACATACTTTACAAAGATCTTTGTTCTTCTCAAACTTTATTCGATCATCCGTTGAAGCTAGCGCAGTTATATAAGCTATATTAATCGGAATTCAGCTCGCTTTTTTATACGGACTAAAGTCTTCCGTTACGGTAGCCGTAATAGGTCCTTTTTTATGGGCTCATTTAAAAGGGCTATTTAGAAGTTAACCGAAGTCTTCGTAATTGTTATGAGAACCAGCTTGATTCATCCGTGTCCCGATTCGTTAAGCAACCAACCTTATTCGCTTTTTTTTAGTGGGGAAGCGCTTCATCTACCAGCTTCGACGTCGACTTTCGGTGAACCAACTATCCCAAGCAGCTAAAATGCTTTTACTTAATCGGCAGCTAGTTGATCAGATGGTTCAAGACTGGAGAGAATGGAGGGGTGCCTATTGTGCCGCTTCTCCAATCGGCGGGGCTGGTAGAAGCGGGGCTTTACTTGATAGCCTTAGTTTTCAGTTAGTACCTCCAGGCATTAGCAACAGACCTTCTGATGGCACGACGACAACGACAGGGCCAAGTGGCTCCGAGAGGGAACGGACGGCGTGCCATCAGGACACCTTCTTTTGTGGTGAGTTATCTACGATTTGTTGGCCGTAGTTAATGGATAACGATAGTCACAATCTGTGTGTCTATTTAAGTAATTTCAGTAGTGTTATCATATGAAGCACAGAATGTAAATACTTGTACTTGCTGTGTTCTTGTTATAAACACGTGTACCTGTTTATTCTCTTGAAGAATATTCAGTAAATGTATATGCGTATATCTTACAGTGCTCGCTGAATTGGAATCTTGTCTGGAGACATCGACGAGTTTAGAGACGCTTCTTCTTTGGATGGACTCGGTCATAGAAAAATATGCCAGCGGGGTATCTTGATGAGTTTGAAACAATTATAATGCACATGCATGTACGGAGACATGACTCACGAGTTCTATGTTCTGTCAGGTTTTATGGGTACCACATTTTTTTGCGAATTATTAACATGCTTCGACATCTTCACAGATCTATCGGCCGACCGCGAAACGCGTCAAAGGGGTGCTTCGTGCATGCCCACAAAGTCAGCGAGATGTGTGCTGCGGTTTTTTCAAAACCTGGCGAAGCTGCTCTCAAAAAATATTCAGAAATCTTACCATAAAAGGCACCACACACTACGGTAGGCATCGAGACAGTACATGCGGTCGTCGTGTGCTGTTGTTGTTGTTCTACAATTGTGTCAATCAAAATCAATAGTTGCCCCCAACGATTGGTTGATGCCGATCCGAAAACAAGTTGCCCCTGAGCTTTTCCAGCTAGATCGAGTCGTGCCTATCTTTCAGCCAGTCCATCTCTAAAATGATTGTTTTTGTCAAATATTGTTGGTGAGCTAGCTTCTTTTCAGCTTCTCCGAGTTCTTTTCGACGACTACGTTCAGCTTTCGTTAGAGGGCGTTCTAGGGGACTGCCTTGTCCGAGAGATGCAGGAGAATATCGCTAATAATCGAACTCTAGAAGTAGAACATATCCACGCACTCGAAATGTTGAGTGCAACGTCGGCGTACCCACAAGCGCAACTCGAGGCAGCGTCCCCCAAGGTCCAGCTTACCAGTCCTGTAACAACACTCAACGTACATCCTACTGCTGCTGAAGGTCACATTGAACCGCCGAAGCCTGTGCAGCTCTGTGCTCTTCCCCCTCAGATGCCGGCAGGTCCGTATCAGCCGGAAATTTCGGCTTCACCTCCTTGTCTCCTAAAAAAATCCTTTTTAAGCAAGATAAAAATTTCTCAACATTAGTGTAACTACCTACACCTGGCGATATTGGGTGCGGGCCTGCCTTTAGCTAACTTCCATCTAGCATGGCCAAAATGAAACATCTAAGAGCTAGTCATACGCTGTATATTTCGTATGTTGTCTCTTCTGTTTTATTTGCTAAACAATATTTAGTGTATCATTTCTGAGGCAAATGTTAAAGCTTGTAAAACGCTCGATAATTGCTTGGTAGATTAGTTAGTTATTGCACCGATGCTGATGTGATAATTTAAAGAGACATTGCAGTTTTGCTTGTATTGCTTGAACCTAAACAAAAGTCAGCCGTAGGGGCGAAATTCTGTTTAATAGATAGATTGGCGAAACAACGCTTTCAATTAGCCAAATGAAAATCAAGCATTTAATTTAGATCCAGCCGAGGAAGACTTTGCCTACGAACGATATCCTTAAGATCGCTGGCCGCTAGTGAATAACCTACGCGAGCGTTTTGTCTAGCCTTGGTTTAACCTATGATACACCTTTCGTTAGGGACCGCTCTATTAGAAAAGACCAAGCAACTGCGTCGCGTTGGCGCCACGAGCAACGATTCCTCACTCGATTTACCTGAAGGGTATCAAACGACTCATACAGCACAAACTACTCCGCCGGTAGCGATCTTCTACGAAACGACCAATTGTTATGCTGGAGTTACATCTGTCATACAACAAACAACCAATATTATCACAACGACCGCGACGGCGGCTACTGGCAGGTAAGCGTTTAGCATGTATTCAGGTTCTGCCCAGTATAATAACCTTCTCGTCGTATAATAATCACCTTCTCTGCATCATAACAATGCGTTTATGCGTATACTACATCAGACAACGAATTTCCAACTATTTTATGAGAATAATAATAATAAAAAGACGGCTCATTTATGTTAGGAAGGACTGACGCTGATTGTAATGCTGTTAGTGTGTTAACTATCGTTTCAGTCTATACGGAGCTGCCGAAGTGTTGGAAGCCGGGGGAGGCGATTTCGGATGCGCCGGATCAACACAGGCGGGCGGTCAATGTCTGATCATTTCCGGAGAATCCTCGTCTCCTGGAGTTCATCCTAGCACCGTTGAGTGGGCTTCGCCGCACCCACCTTCAGGGCCTCCTTCGCATCCCCATTACACCTCGGCCGCGCACCATTATAGACAAACGACAGCTCCTCCGGGAGGGGGCGGCCAGACTCATAACTTGCACCATTTCAACTAACAAGAACTGCAGAGTAAGGCAAAACCAGTACTAGGGCGTGACATGGGGCAGTTTTGCAAACCCTCGGAAAAAAACATGTGTTGGCGTACACCGAAAGATGTACGCAGTTGAAAAAACCTGCTAACCACGGCGCAATGGTTATATGTATAATCATTACTAGTATTATTACAATTGTGTGCAATCCCTACAAAGCCGTGTTGAAACGTTTATTGTACGATGACCTCTATATTAATCCGCTTTTTGTTAAATCAATTATAATTATCGTTGCCAATATTCACTTAGTTGAATTAGATGGGTTGCTTGTAGAAACACTTCTTAGCGATCGGTCGTTGAAGAAAAGGATAAATAAGTATCCTGGTTAGGACGAAAAAAGCGTAAATTTTTCTTCAAAAAGATAGATCTCAAACGGTTTTTCGGTAGTTTAACAAAGTTCAACTTATTGTTATTGAAATCTGAGTAATTTATGATCGATACTCACCTTATGTCAACTAACTCTAGAACACTGACGCGATCAGCAGAGGCGTACGTTTGAAACGAATAACTTACTTTTTTACTGTTCTCATAACTAAATATCAAAAGGTCCTTTCCGTAGGTCTGAACAAAGGACTGCCGCGTCACAAAAGCCTGCGCGAAAAAAGTCTACCTTAGTAAAACTTATGTTCGGCCTTACGAATTCAATCATATTCAGAATCGAAGCAATAAATAAATAAATCTAATCAAATAAACTGGAAGACGTTGCCTTTACTTATTACTTACTATGCCTTACTTAGAGCACTAACGTATAGAGCACTTCATTTTAACATGTTATCGTTTCTTCGGAGGTTTTTGCCTAATACTGATTATCGAGGACTGGCTAAACATTGTTGTTCATTGACAACAACAACAACAACAACTCTAATCTACTTTTTGTTGCAGAGGCTATCATTTGTCTAAGAGCAATAGGGATCGATGCGTGCACTTCAATGTAAAGCTTTTATATTTTATTCGAAGAATACTTCAATTGATGTTTGGGTTCGTCTCCGCTAATCAAATGTATATCTTAATGCTAACATATCACATATAATTGGGTTGCAGCGTACAAACCGTGTGGCTGACTGCCGTAGGCAGAATGCCGAGAGTTGCTATACGAACTATTTTCCATATAGTCTGAATTCAGTTTCAGAATCTGAAGGGTCAATGTGAAGCTCATAGGACATATTGGGGTGGTTTACAAGTACGCCAATAACACCCTTTTTCCGTAATAAGGATACGTAGGGATTTTGTGCATTAAAGCACAATGTTTTTTTGTTGTCAGGTTCAGGGTAGCGCCACGTTTTTGAAGGTCGTGTTCTAGCCTATTCGTCCATAGACTGGACATTCGATAATAATGGACGGGCACATTATGATTGCCGTTTGCATACTAATCATCCGGTCATGAAATAAATCCTTTTATATACAGTTTTTAACAGTAAAATAGCCAGTTCATATAGGAACGCACCGGTATGACAAGTTGCTACTCTGAGAACGTTAACACGATCAACTTATTGAAATAACTTTATTGAAAAGATACTTTTACGTAGCTTGATCGTCGATCTATGATTTATATATGGAAAACCAAGATCGGTTCTCTAGATTAACATACGCACTGATTCATTGTCCACTGCTGCGTATTCGAAGCCATTCGGTCCCCATATACGCGTCGAATAGAATAAATCAACCGACACCGTTTGTCCACTGCGCAGGCTTAGTTGTTCCTCCTAGTGCTAAGAGGTATATTTTTTAGGAAAAAATGCGGGCCTATTTGATCCGTCAGCATTGTCAAGGTCATATTGGCTCTGACTGTCCTAATAGGCGCGCTGTTACGTTCGTCTCTACTAGTTATGCTCCGAAGATAGGATGCAAATATCCAATTTGGGATCCAAATACCAAGTGGTCAAAAAGTTGCAGTTTGTTAATTTCCAACTTCGCAAGTATCTGGAAGTGTAGCTTCTATGATTTCTTAGCTAACTTCTACAGAAAAATTAAATCTAATTTCAAGCTGCGTCTGGGTAAGCTAATGTATCCATAAATGTGTCTAAGCCACCATAAAGACCAGCTGTACAGTTCAATCTTAATTTAAAATACCTAAACAACCTAACTGCCTATGAACGGCTAGCAAAGACGAATTGCAAAGTTTCAGCAATTACACAATAAAACATATTACAAAAGTGGATCGTAATTATGATCCAAAAAGTGTGAGTACCCCCTGATTTTTGGATTAAGTCGTAGGGTATATATATCACAAGCCCCGGTAAAGCGCTATCCATATCACTGCTAGTGGCAAAAGTCCTTTCATATTTATTATAGAGATGGCTTTACAAGAGTTATACAGGAAAGTTACGAACCCACACGCTCGATTTCAAACTTTTGTGATTAAACTGGTGGCATATCGTTCTTTAAACACTGTCTGTATTGCTACGATAGATATCGATAGAAAAAGTTCATGTCGACAGAAAACATTCGAACGACATGTGAAACCCCCAACGGTGTGGGGTTGTTATATATTGCGTTTTACTTCTTAAATTGAAAAGTATGCAGATATATCTGTCGCCATAAGCAATTTTAACCGAGAAACGAGTTTGTGCTTCTAGTTCGCTCATCACAGCCATAACATTCATACGGTAATGTTTAGTTGACTAGCTAGCATAATATTGTCCAGAGCTGCGTTTTGATGTTTTTATTCCAGAGGTCGCTGCGCTGATAAGTCTTCGCAAAGGAGACGATGAAGTTGATATTCTAAGATGAAGACAATCGATCCAGAAGTTTGCCCCATTAGCACAATGTAAAAGAGTCCTTCTAAGTCTGCGAGATGCAGAGCCTCCATTGAACGATCGTCCCCGCTACCTCCAGCAACGGCAGAGCAGCCAGTCCACGCACCATTTACTTTACGAAACCACTCATCTAAGATACCAGAATCGTACAAACGCATCAACCTGCAACAAAGCAGAATATTTCGTCTGTTACAAGAGATTACCACTCGTTTATGTCCCATACATCTACGACCTCGAAATTCGTTTACTTTTCCTTAATGACCTAACCTATAAGAAGCCCTCTAGATTGCGTTTGTCTATAAAGTAGCAGATTATCTCGATGTTTTTACATATTCCTTTATGTAATGCTATGAGAAATAAATACGGTTGCCTCCCTCGCTGTATGAACCAGGATTAGATGTTTCTTATTAGCGCAAACTATGAAGCAACTTCAATTAGCATTAACAGAACTAATCATATAATGCCACTCTATTGCACAATGTATGTTCATTCCATATCTGAACCTAAAACCTATTGACTTTTCGAATACAGTTGTACACTCTTTACTCCAATCACCTGCACCCCTTCTCTTTGTTGCTTCGGAAAGTACAGAGTAAAAGCGGATTTTCGGGGGGATTGGACATTTGACTTCTCCGAATCTAGCAAACAGGAAGTCTTCAATTTATCTGTGCAGTTTATGCGCATCGGGATCAAACTAGCCGTAACGGCGCCAGTTACGGACGGAAGGTATTCCCCATTGTATCCGAAAACCGACATTAACCTGATAGTATCCGTTCTCAATTATTCACTAGTCAGCTACAAATGTTAAAAACGAAAACTAGGCTTTGGTGTGAAACATAGCACGAGCACAGGACAAAAGAAACGAAGCGCATTCGACTAAGTTGAGTAGTGACTCCTAGAAGGACCAGTTAAGTTATGCCAGTACAATTACGAAGTACTCATTAACTGTCGTTCTACATATTGATTGGCCGCATGACCAATGGTGACTACAGGTCTCTTCCACAGTTAGTATCTGCTATAGGTTCTTTGAGGGTATCCTACCGTTCGTTGATGGCCTCTTGAAGGTGTATCGGCATTCTTCGATTGTAGAAAATGACGGCATGATATGTCCCGATTAGTTCGCGCGCTGTGTAGAACTCCCCTCGTTTTAGATTTTTACATTGTGCCATTGTTCCTCTTCCTATAGCTGGGCGACTTGCTAATAGTACAGCCTGTCCTTCGAACACCGCATTAAGTATTTTATCGCTAAACAGTTCAGCTGGCGGGGTCGCTGTGTGTTGCTCGATAACGGCTCGATGATACAAGCTCCGCACACTCGCCTTATCTGAAGTCTTCACGAGCACATTTATTAGATGGAAGTAATTGTTGAGATTTTCGGCAAACCAGCGATTGCCAATAATTTGGTAAAAGTCGATGCAACATTGAACAATCCAATGCCCCATGGGCAAATAATAGATGGAGCTAGGCTGAAATAACACACCTTCTATTTGGAGACCCATAAAATCTATTACATAAGACATCGTCATTCAAGCTTCACAGTGCAGTACACAGTTTTGTCATTTGGCTAGCATGCAACGATCGCCTGGTTTGGATACAGATCAATAGTTGTTACGTAAACTTTATCGAACGATTTAAAGTATTTTACGCCAATCGAACGTTTGGCTTATCGGAGAGACGGATTATCATCCACCCTTATTCCCAATCTAGAACAAACGTCGCTTTGTAAAGTTTACTGAGTACTACGGACGAAATACGTCCTGTCTCGTTCCGACTGTGCTAGCTACGGCAGCAGCCTTGTTGTTTGATAAAAAAAAAAATAACTAAATCCAGAGGGTAAGCGTAGAAAAGTTGAATTGCGTTATGACATGTTGGCCGGCTGACAGGTCTGCTTAGCTTTAGCCATACCGTAAAGGACGAACAATTTCATTGTTGAACAACGGGACAGTGGAGTGTTTGTCGTATGTTCTAATGCAGGTGGATTCGTTGGTGATGTGGACTACCATGCAGAATAATATGATTACGTCACCACCAAGACCAGAGTGTGCGTGCAATGACGATTATGATATGTAGAAGCACTGAACCACTCGACCCAAATGCCCAGTCTCAACCCACTCCACCTCGAGTGTTCAAAGTCACTCTAATACTGCCTTTTGAACATGCCCGAAATAAAAAAAAATCATATACATACTATCGCAAACTACAGGAGGACCCGGTTCAGCTAATGTGTACCACACACGCAAATTATGATATGTGCGGCAATTTCAAATCGGTCTTATTTCGTGGTACTGGAGACTTGGTATTGGTGAGGTGCACACAGCTTAACGGCTTCTCAGCCAGTATCAGATTTGGAAGAAGTATTCCCCGTGTCCCAATCTAAACTTGTCCCACGTCGGGCCTCTTTCTCTTAAATACTTAAATCGTATTTCAGCTTGTGATATATAATTCTCCCGATATTAAGGTCTTTATGATGAAGAACTAGACGAGTTTCGGTTAACTGCATTGTTTGAAAAGAATATTGATCTTTGCATTTGCGTGTACTGGTGTGCGCGGTCTCCAATTGTTTAGCAATAGACATTATATTGAACTTTGCCTCCCTACAGCTTCGGTATACTCGACAATAAACAGAAGCTTTCCCGTTCATGCTCCGCCTTTTTCCGACATGATGACCTCTATTGTTCGGTAATCGATTTTTCACTGATCTTCTAGCAAATAGAAGTCCTTCTTCGAAGTCTTCACTTATCGCATGTTTGAGAGCCTATGCCAACATGTGCTAAATATGATTATAATGTTAAGCGGTTCAAATTTAAAAATATTTTTTTTAATTCACGTTAAGTTTCCACAGTCTGCCAAACTGTATAATCATTATTTGCCTCGAAGCGATAGAAGTTTGGAATTTTGAATAAATTGAAACGGTCCTCCCAGGCTGTCAATCGCTGCCTTCAAGGCAAGATCACTCTATGCAGCCTAGCTGTTTGTACTCAGAGCGAGGTAAGGGACTGTTTCGAACGACGTCGCAGGAAAAGGCTCGATTGAAGCATGGAATGAATCTAGCGTGAATGAATCTAGGTCTGTCGTCATATCAGATGGGCAAACTGTGTTGTTAGATCATGGAGTGGTTTAAAACCAGTACGGTAGTTAGAATGATTGGTCATTTTCTTATTTTGACTAATTCTACTTTCAATCGTCAAAATTCATTCTCTAGGAACGCTTACGTCTACTTCTCAACCGCTCGTTGTATACTCAAAAATAAAAACCTTTTTTTTGGTGTAGAATCGTCGCCATCTATGTAATTTCGTGTTATTTGGCTGTCTGCAGACTAAGCAGTAACAAGGTGGTATAGCTTAATTGACAGCTAATTTTAGATGTACTCTAGATAGGAAAACAGATTACGACCCTGCGATCAGATTTAGGAACGATACGTAAATACGACTGACGTATTTCTTTTGAACCTCGACACACTCTTTGCGGCCTACGGTGAAAAAAGAGAAACGATAGACATACGTAAAGCTCTTAGCAGATAGTTATTTTTGCAGGAGTTTCATATGTACGAAGATGTTTGGTTGAATACATCTTATCAAGATGACTGAAGATGATATCAAAATGATGATGAACTGGGAAAGCATTCGACGAAACTTCGGAACAAACAAGGTAGAATCACAAAAATGAGGACAGCTAAGCGTAAATTGGAAAAAAAAATGAGCAATATACGATCAGACTTCTACATCCAATTTAGGTTACTATAGTTATGAAAACTTCAGCTGACAATTGACGTGGTATTTACTTAGCTATGAAGTTACCTATTTTTTTTTCATCTGGAAATAATTTGATTTTAATTCCAACATTATCTTGCCTATCAGTGTTCCTTATAATGGCCTTATTGTAATTACAGATGGCGAGAGCAACGACATGTAGAGGACGACAGTGGCAATCCAACCCTTTGTGACACTTCATGCAAGACTCGATCGGGGCGAAGTGCTCAAATGAAAAGAGTTTATACGTCATAATATACGTCAAAAGCTTGTACAAAAACGTTTTCCCAAAAGCGTCCTATTTTGTCCCTTATTATAAGGGAACGCAAAGATTTTCCTTTAGATACGCAAGTGATTTACACGAACTTCCTTGATACATCGATTGTTATGAAAAAGTTCCTCATTTGTTTCCCAAATAATGGTTAAACAGTAGGCCAAAAATCAAAATCAAAATTTTTAACGGTTCTAAAGATGTCGACTAATAAATACGTTAGGTTAATTTTTTGCGAGCAAAAGCGGGTTGTAAGTAAAAGGTGATGGTGAGGTGCTTGAGTATATTTACTTACCATTAATAAGTTTTCGAAGCTATTCAATGGCAGAAAAACTTTCATTTTTTGTTGATTGGCTACGTCTAACGGACCGGAGATACGCGGCGTCTCAGCTTTAAAGAGGAGCAATCCCTACACAAAGAGATAATTATAATATCGCATTAAACACATTGGCATTTTCAAGAATTCTAGATAAGCCTAAAGTCCATTTCATTGTGATTCAAAACTCTGTTGATCCTAAAGGTGCCAAAAGAACAGAGGCGTCAGCTGAGTAGGTTTCTGAGCCCTGAGGTCCCTGACAGGTTTGAAAGTGTTTGTTCTTCTATATTTTGGCTTGTTAGGTTTTCATAAGAAAGAAACTAGTTCCTTCCAAAAACCAAGGTATCGTACAGATAAGACTTACTTGTTATTGCTGCTCTCCATACGCTTAAAAGTTGTTTGTTCCTTAAAGCGCTTGAAAGGCTACGTAATATAATGATATTCTTGGATAATCGTAATAAATTAAAAAAACGCTTTTTTTTTTTCAATTTTCTAGCTTAATTTTTCTTTTAGTTAAAGCGAATTAGAGCCCTTCGGATTTTTAACAAAAAAATCACAGTCTGAACTATCGAATAACGTAAGTAACGTAGTATAACGTACTGCAGAGGCTAATATGAAAACGACCTCCGGTTAAATTTAGCAGAATCCGGCAACATCGAACAAAGCCTTAGTCCTCTCTGGTACGGTCCCATGCTGTCCAATAGAAAGTTCAATCCTCCTGAATGATAATCACTGTGTACAAAACACCTATGTCTAAACCAATGGAAAAAAACTCGAAAAATAATGATACGGTGATAATTCTACAATGCAGTCAGACGCTTTCACGCCAAAATAGCGACGACGCTCTGAAATATCAGCTCGTAAAAAATCTGAATAAGTAAGGGGTATCTCTTCTATATAACAGAAACGTTAGAACCATACCAACAATGCCAAACTGGTGCCAATGTAGATTGAGCATTTACTTGGTCAAACAATCGCGTCCCAAAATTTCTATAGCAGTATATGAAAGTGGGACCTAGGAACCGGAGGGCTTTCAGTTAAAAATTCGGTCAATTTCAGTCAATTAGAAATTGAAAGCTTTAATTTTAATGTAGCAGGTTAATTAGCTAATTCCAAACAACCTAGAACGACACTAATCAACTATACACCACAAGTTTTAAAAATGATAAACTTCAAGTTAATTTTTTAAAAGAAGGTTGTTAAGGCCAAAATCTACTTAGGGTGGCCGTTGAGAGCGAACTCCGTTACAGCAAAAAAACGGTGGGTCGTGGCTTCACGGTATCTATTATAGGTTCGATATAAGGCTAAATTCGGAATATGAAGATTTTAAAAGTTGCTTTTGGAAGGTAATGGATATCGCAATTACGCTCGGCGTCATTAAATTTCTCGATATTATCAATAAAAGAAAAAAACGTTAAAAGCCTCTTAAACCTGGAACACAAGTCCCAAAATAGCATTCGTGGCATCGATTGTATAGAAAACGATCGAGAGATTGCCGTGTAATTATTTTTGACTAAATATGCCCAACATAAATGTGCGCCTTTGACCTTCTTTCCTGTTAATATTCTTTTTATTATTCTGTAATACCTACAGACACCGAGCCTTTAAAAGCTATGAGTTAGAAATGGTACACGAAATAGATAAAAAAAAAAAAAAAGAAAGCGGGGCATGAGGTTAACGCTCATTTCCTTAAATGTTAAACGCAAGACAGCTTTTTAATCTCACCGCTATTTCAGAAATGAACCCAGCCGTATACATAATAATCATACTACAAACAAATAATCCTTTCGAGAAAGGAATATAGCTTTACAGTAGACGTATGAGAAAGATATTTGTTACGAAATACATTAAAAATGATTCTCGGAAAGATCTGTTCAAGCTTAACCACGGCTGCAACTAGAAAATAATGGCGAAGGAAGAACAGCAATGAAAAAATAGGTTAATTTTCGTCAGAGCTTTTAAACGGGCTTTGACTGAACCTTTAAATTTCCGGCGAAGGCATTCATAAGAATCATGGAGATACCCAGCATCCATGATATCCAAATCATTCGGAGGGCGTTGAACGACGGAGGCCGAGCTGAGCCTGTGAATAGGCACAAGTCCATTGGTACTTTTGTTTAAATAATCCCGCCAATTCTAAGGTCTTGCCGGTTTTTCCGCAGGATTATTGGAGTCGAAAAAAATTTGCTTTAGGAAATTAATTTACAGGTTTAGGAAGCTTGTCGATGATAAGTTGAAAAATTTGAATTTTCTCTGATGGGTTTAAATGTAGTATTTAGAAATATGTTCAATGAAGTAATCTAGTTATCAACCATTAAGTTTTCCTCATACTGCTACTGATTAGATAGTTGGAAAATGAAAGTCTTACATTCAGCCCAGATATTTCCAAACAGCTGTGTCACATAGAAATATAGAAGTCGTATGAAGTTCGATGACCGGACGAGGCCACAGTGTATGAGCGTCATTTCAATCGTCACACTAACCAATGTCAAAAGCAGCAACAGCCATACCTATAGAGCAATTCAGTACGTAGCAAATGAGCGCATACATAACTTTACATGCAAAAATCGACATCGATCGAAGTTACAGTCCTTTCATAACTACCTTAGCTAACTGGATTAAGTTAATTTCCCTCGACCAATTTGGCAACATTTAAATAGTGCATAAAGTCAACGCGGACCATCACATGTAAGTTGCCATGTTGAAGTTACAATGCCAATTAATCTTATTTCACCTCTAAATCGAATCCATTGACAAGAGCAAACGGAATCTTAAGGAAACGGTTTTTCCGCGCAGCTAGTATAGCAATGTCCACAGGGTTAAGTGTTGGCGATATGACGGTCACTTGAGATCCCTCATACGTGGGCAACCCGCACATTAGCGCTATGTCCGCATTCTGTAGAAATAACCGTTACAATTATTTTGTTAGCAGTTGAATATTCCTATAAGAGTCCATGCATCGTTTAGTAAAAAGAATTGTTCATACTCCTTATTCATAAACATAAAACATAGCCCCTATCCTTTTTTATTTTGTTATACAAATATCTATGGCTGTACCTGACAAGCCTCGGAAATATTCGCATCGCTTTGTGTGAACGTATTCTAACTTTGAGTTATTCTCGTTTTGTCGTCTGTTACAACAACAGAGGCACCGCAAAAATGGTTCAGTAACGGTAGCTTTCTTGAATTGTGCGTTTGTTTCGTACACTGCGACTCTACTCACATCTCGCTGAAGCTCACCCATTGCGCCGGTCCACGACCCATTTTGAAGTCTCAAGCCCCAAAAGCCCACATTCCGAACTTCATATCTGGCAAAGAAATACAGGCAAGCGTAAAACTATAGTAAGTAGGCATTAAAAAATCGATCGAAAAGAATAGAGATCATTCCGGTCGTGCTTAAGTCAAAGTACTTAGGAGTAAATTAAGTTGGCTAAAAGATCCACGCCGGAAATGACATCTGGGGGAGACCTATACGACACCACCACTACGTATGGGGGATCTGAGGTATGCTCTAACCAGTGAAAATAGTAGCTTCGTTTGAGCACAAATTTTGATAATAATAATAGTACTTACTCGAAATTCAGTGAGTTTGCAAGGATGTCAAGGAGTTTTCCATACATTCCTGCTACACGTGCATTGCGGCCTTCCTTCATCACAATATGATATGGTTTATACTGAAACAAAAACAAATGATGCGCTCATGTGAGCCGAAGCTGCTTATATTATTAGCTAGAGAAATAATTACTCTCGAAGCATCGAAATAGGTCTCTGCGAAAGCAGTACTAAACCTTAGGACCGCTTGCACAAAAGTCCTGATAGATTTCAAGGACATAAAAATACGTACAATAAATGACACAACTCGGACGAAGGTCGTGCCGTTCTCAGACGTGCTAACTCCAGCCATCATCGAAGAAGATCTCACGAGCTCTCGAAGTAAAACGACCTATTCCGTTCAACCTTGGATGCCATTTGAACATATGAAGTGACCCATTTATACAGCGGATTCTAGCAGCCTTAGTGCTATGGGAATATTTACATATCTAGTACATAAGGCATTTATCAGTGTCACAGACGGTATATATAATTTTTTTCGATTCCTCTCCCGTGATGTCGACAACAGGCAACAAGGACCTTCATTTATGATGCACATTATTTAAGCAAAAACTAGCCAACGGCGTGTGATTTATACGACTATGGATTTAAAGATCGATTTCCTAGATTAACACGCCATTTCGCATATTGGACCAAAGTGGACTCCTTTAATGCACGATGTTTAAAGGTCGTGCTCATCGCTTAATCGTACTTTTAAGCTGAATTACTAAAATTGTATTAACAGAGAACAGCGCAGAGTCTTTTATAGACGACAGGTGAACATTAGAAACTTCTAATTACCATATTTGGCTATAAAGTTAAGTTCATAGACATAAAAATATATCCGAATAAAAACATAGCACATTTAGAAAGTGACAACATCCCATTTTCTGTAAAATCTAATCGATTACGCTTTGTAAGAATACGTTGCCCGTCCGTGTATTTCCGCATGCATCGACCTTAGCCTCGTGCGAATAACCTATACTTCGCCTGTGCCATCTTGAATATCTTAAATAAGAGCAGAGAAGAAAAGGGTTTTCCCAGATACGACGGTAACGTTAGGCACCGCCCTCATCGGACAGCAGGACCTTAATGCCTTAGAGCGCCCAAACTAGTAGCTATTTATTGTTCGCCTTCTTGACCATAACAAAATATAGCGATGTGTGTGCACAAAAATAGGTAGGTATTAGGGTCTCAGTGGTAGGTGGTACCCGCCACATCCAGCAGCACACATACTAACATTCTACACATATAACCGTAATATATAAAACTAAAACCCGGTAGAAGGCTTTCGGATCTGGTGCTGGCTTTTTTAGGATTTGGCCTAAATTCGAGCTCGGTTCTTTGGAGAATGTTAGAGCTCAGTGAGCGAACAAGCTTTTTTTTTTTTAAAATGGTGTGCGTGGAAACATTGAGGACGTGTACATGCATAAGAAAGTACACTCCTTCTTTTCGTGTTGTATCTAGTAAAAGAAAATAATAATGATGGATTTCGATTAATCGTGCGCGTTATCTAATCTCGAAAATATAATTAGTTGAAAATTGTTTCTTTTGGAAGGTGATCTAGGATCATCTGCTTACAAAATTGTGTTTTTGTTAGTGAAGCTGATGTGATGGCGAAACATACTTTGGTTAAAGAGAGCAATAATTTACTATTTGCTTCAAAGTAATCAAGTGTCTTGGTAAAATTCAAGAAGTACTTAGGTATTTAGCTGAAATGACAGTACCCTAGTTAACTCTAACAAACCCTTAATACCGACGAAGAATAAACAGCAGAGTTGCTGGAGGATATCAGATATGTTCGAGACTGCTCTTATTGGGTCACGTTTATACATCTACATGTCACATTTACAAACCATAAACAAATTCCGTTTATGGAATTTGTTTATGGGTGTAAATTGTATAGCTTAGCAAACTGCATTGTCTTTTTTTTATAGTCAAAACGAAGACTATCGTTTATGAGACTATTATCGGATAATCTCTAATTTCTGCCTCCAAATATTCTTCCCATTGAAATAATCTTTAACTAATAAAGTAGCATTTACGTAGATATGGATTGTGTACTCCTTAAGTTACATAGACAGTACCATTTTCCTATGTAGCATTATTACCTGCCATTGCTAAGATCCAATTCTACACTACATATACGGTACTGCGCGTATCTGCTTTTCTGGCAATGAACGTGCCGTGCTGTTTACTGCCTTCGCCAATCAAGGCACACAAAACGTATGACACTATGTGGCTAGAAAAATCGCTTGAAAAATAGGCCGTGTGACCAGCACGATACATATCTAACTAAATTGTCTTATATGGCGAGCTGATGTAGTTTAATATGGTCAATAGGCCTCAGTATTTTAAACGTTATAGAAGGTATTACAGAGCACGTATCCACCGTAAGGCATAGTATGCTTTTCTGCATATAGCCATACATTTCGTAATCTCTCAAAGCACGTCCTTGATTTAAATGACCTTGCTGACGAACATGGGCGTATGTCCTTTCAGTGCTGTTAAGGGCCTAGCATTCGCGATCGATGATAACCGGCGATGAGCTGCTAATAGTACGAAGCTTCTTGAATACGGCAGTGCCTCTTCCAAAAATTACCACCTGACACCATATGGACTACCCATTAGCCTAAAGGCGATCACTCACATTGACTTATTTAGCTCCAGATCTGTTTAAGGTAGTTTCCAGAATTCTACTGTAATTTTCTCTTGCCGCTGGCTATATCGGCACAAAGCATGTAGACCGATTAGCAGGACCCTAGGCTGTATAACTCTACAGCCTTACACACGAATGGCATACAGGGACGAACCCTGAACCGCCGTTGTAGAGCTATCCTATTCGGTACGATTTTTTGCCTCCTTTATGGTTACACAATTTATACTAGGTTCTTTCCTGTAAGTATCAATTAGAAACCGTTAAATAAGAATGCGACTGGATGTTCAGCTAGCGTCCAATGATACCGTAGTGACTAGCATTTACATAGGCCTCGATCGACTAGCTATGGGAAGGTAAATCACGTAAAAATGTGTATGTATTATTGATACAGGCCGTCTTGGCGCATCGCTCTACTCTTTTAACTTGAAATCGTATTACACTGACCAACCGCGCCCCCGAAGGAACAATCTCTCACGATGCATGGCATTTTATGCTCTCTGGTGCTCGCCTAGAAATAGCCGAGGAGTAGATGTTGTCTGGGATGTGCAGCCAATTTTAAACGTTATTATTTATTTAATCGTTCCTGCCATATATATATAGTATAGGTCATTGGTCACTCTTTAATGGTTCAAAAAGACAACGACACCAATCCGATATGTAGCTGTACCAAGTTAGCATAAGGAGTCATAGACTCGTTAGTACCCTATATTAATTACGCCTAATAACCTGATAGGATCTTTTATTTTCAAATAATTCTACCACAAATAGTAGATAAGTATATCGTGCGTCGTTGTGCTCGTGGCAGCGTATGGATCACATACGTTCAATTATGTATGTCACGATAGTGCCTTACTGCAATACCAAATCCAGCAAAAGGCTCAACCTGCTTTTTTTTTTTATTACTATACAGGTTAGCTTTTAGGTTGGTGTTATCAGATGCTTTACTATGCACTTCGCTAGATTCCTACAGAACTGGTTTGACCAATTAAAAATGGAATAATAACACAAAAGCTGTTGAATCAATCACGTTGACTATACGTAGATGAATGGCGTATCTCGGCTAACATATGAAACATTGGCTCTTTTAGGTCGAAAATAAATTAAACAGTTTCCTTCGTGTTTTGAATTACTAATACAGGCTTGAACTGTGTCTGTGACGTGCTGATGAATAGTGAAAATTGGCTCATTTGATTAAGATATGCAAAGTTTACTAGATAATTTGTGCTGAGATCTATACTCTTTAGACTGCTTACGTGGCTTACTTTGACAGAGAAGCTGGGTTGCTTGTATGGGTAACCTGTAAGTCCGCCCTTTCGGTCCTTTCACCAAGTAGCTGGGTGCATGTGAATATGTGATACGCCACCGTACCTTTAGGCTGGATTTACTAAATCCGACCTTTCTAGTTCTTGCGATGGGAACATGCCTTTAAATGATCTTCGTACCGTTTATATGGCAAACCCAAAATTGACCTATGTTTACCTCTTATTTTCCTAATCTTAGGGGTCTTAAACACTTCCTCAGGGTATTTTGTCGAATTATTAGGTTGCGCTCGTAGTTAAAGCCTTATGACTTTGCAGTCCTCTTTTAAGGTAGGCTACCAGACTGTGGTCGCTCTCTTCGAGTGCGAAGTATTTACAAGCGTAAAGAAAGGCTGTCGTTACATTTTTTCTCTCAGATAGGGTCCTCTTTTGTGTTATATCTTTTGCATTTATTTAGTTGAGAAGAAGACAATTGTACATTAACGCCGAACTTCTTGTGCATCTGTGCAGTGTTCTTACCTAAAATCTACTTGACGTGTCATTATTTTCAATTAGAATTTACCGTCTAGACTGATAGTTTTTTGTCTGACGTAACGCCTAACAGCAGTTAAAAACGCAAAATTCGAATCGTTCAGGCTACTATTTTTAAATTCGGTACTAACAAAGCTTCTCATAGACTATAGGGTTGCGCTGCTAGCATTCATTCAAACTGTAACTTCTTTATACAGTATTGCCGTATTGCCAATGCACGTATCTGAACTTTTTAGAAACGTTTTTGTGAGCCAGGTCTCTCTAGTAGGTCCCTGTAATAGCTTACTGGGTAACGTGTTTGCCTGCTAATCTTAGGGACTCGTTGTGGACTAGGGTCGAACCCGGACATAGATCGTTTCACGCTGGGAGCCAGGCGTCTGATGGAATGCCTAACGGGGCTACCAGGCGTAAAATTGAAGTATCTTTAGAAAACGAGTGGCCAAAAATCGATGAAAAACGTAGTACTGTAAGCAGGGCAGAACATATCTCTTCATCTAAATTGTCTAAAATAAAAATTAAATTGTCATAACGTAGTTACCCGATGTGTGAGCTAGTGTAGAAGTATTTCTATTTATTTTAGGCCAGGTTACCTCGGCTTATAATTAAACTTGCACACGGATACGTTGTTGTGTAAGTTTCAATGATTAAATCATTGAAATGATCATAAAATCAAAATGTGGCTTTCAAATTTTCAGCCCCTGATAGTGGTTACAAGACGACACATACAAAATAGGCGACAGATGCATTAAAATGGAAAGTACATTTCACGATAGTAATAATAATAATAATATTTACATTTTAACCTACTATAATAGGGCTAGCGATGGATGGGGGTTTGACAAAATACATTATATTCATCAAAGATTCAGATTTTTACTGCGA